ACTCCCGCAGTTTGCGAGTTTTACCAATTCGATGAAACTGAAATCCCTGCTGCAGCAGATGTGTCTTTGCCGCTGCCGCGCCCCTTCGACTCCACCGCCTGCGCGCTGCAGCATTTGGCGCAGCAGCAGCAGCTGCTGCTCGCGCTGCAGCAGCTGCAGCCAGCAGCAGCTGCAGCAAGCCGCAGCTTGCTGCAGGACCCCGCCTTGGCAGCTCTTCACGAGGCCACTCATTCTGGGTTGGTGGCTGAAGAGGTGAAGCCAAGAACAGCTGCTGCTGCTGCTGCTGCTGTTCCTGCTGCTGCTGCTGCGGCTGCTGTTGCTTTCCAGCAGCTAACTAAGCGACAAACAAGGGCTGCTGCTGCTGCTGCTTCCTAGCAACTCCCGACAGCAGCAAAAAGTTGCTGCTGCTGCTGCTTCCTATAGGCCGCCGCGTCTAACAGCTTTGCACGATTCCTGCATGCAGGCCCCACATTCTAGAGGTTTCCTTTGCTGCTGCTGCTGCTGCTGCTGCTGCTGCTGCTGCTGCTGCTGCTGCTGCTGCTTGCTCTCTGCAGGTCTCGCGGCACATCGAGTTCGGCCGTCAGGCGAAGATCACCGTCGAGCTGCAGCTGCTGAACAAGGGAGCTGCTGCTGCTGCATCTGTTTTCATTTTGCTGCCTTACTCTGAAGCGACGCAGGTGAGGCAGAGCAGCAGCAGCAGCGCAGCAGCAGCAGCAGCAGCAGCGCAGCAACAGCTTACTAGCCGCTTATCAACAACGCAGAGGCAGCAGCAACAGCGCAGAGACAGCTTAACAATAACGCAAGAGCAGCGCAGCAGCAGCAGCAGCAGCGCAGCAGCAGCAGCAGCGCAGCAGCAGCAGCAGCAGCGCAGCAGCAGCAGCAGCAACAACAGCATCGGTTTGCGGGTTTTGCGGGGCTTGTGAGCAGCTAGGATGGATGAAAGCCTCAGCAGCAAACGGGAAGCAGCTAAAGGTGCTTCCTGTGTCTCGTTTGCTGCCAAGCATTTCTTCTCTTATTTGGGAAGACTGGGGGCAGCGGCAGCTGCTGCTGCAGAAGGAGGAGCTGCTGCTGGCTGCAGCAGCAGCAGGAAGCAGCAGCAACTTCAAGTCCCCCTGCTGGCCCAGTGTCTTCCAAATTCAACTCGAGAGGCCTTTGCAGCAAACAGAGTCTGTCAAGCTCACGGTCTCATACATCCTTGGTGCGTCGCTCGTGCTGCTGCTGCTGCTGCTGCTGCTGCTGCTGCTGCTGCTGCTGCGGAGGCGGCGCTGCAGCTGAGATCAGCTGCGCAGGGGGCCGCAGCAACGAAGAGCAGCAAACGAGGAGAGGTGCATGCAAAGGCGGGGAGCGCAATGCAGCGCGACCCGAGCTGCTCGCTGCTGCTGCGGCTGCTGCTGCGGCTGCTGCTGCTGCTGCTGCTGCTGCTGCTGCTGCGGCTTCACCGGCGGAAACTAGAGTGGCCTGCTCGCTGTGCTTGCTGGCTGGCGGGCTTCTGGGGCTTTCGTTTAATACCTTTTGGTCTTATCTTTGAGAGCCCCCAGGCCCTATTATTCGCCTCCTTGCCCGCGCTTCTTGCCGCCATTGCTGCTGCTGCTGCTGCTGCTGCTGCTGCTGCTGCTGCTGCAGGGCGGCCTTACCGTCCGCTGCCCCAGGCAGTGGAGCTGGAGGCGATTCAGTCTGTTATTTTCGCCACTTCTTTGAATTGGCCTTTGCCTTATAAAGCACTTCGAAGCTCTTTGTCATTTCAGCTGCCCCCCCAGACTTCCCTCGGAGAGGCCGGGGAGCGGCGCATGCAGCAAGTAAGGCTGCTGCTTGCTGCTGCTTGCTGCTGCTTGCTGCTGCTTGCTGCTGCTTGCTGCTGCTTGCTGCTGCTTGCTGCTGCCTGCTGCTGCGTGCTGCTGCGCGCTGCTGCGCCTGGCTGCTCGCTGGTGCTTGTTGCTGCTCACTGCTGCTTGCTGCTGCGCTTTGCTGCTCGCTGATGCGCATTGCTGCTTGCTGCTGCTTGCTGCTGCGCTTTGCTGCTCGCTGCTGCTCGCTGCTGCTCGCTGCTGTGCTTTGCTGCTCGCTGCTTCTTGCTGCTGCTCTGCACTGGGGCATTTATAGTGAATCTCTGGGGCTTCAAGAAGCTTTCCAGTGGCAGGGATCATTTAATTTTCTTTTGTTTTAATTATATTTTTTGTTTTGAGGAAAGTTTTTGGTGAATTCGAGAGGCAGAACTCAGGCCACTGAACAGCCAGCCTTTTGGCTGCAGATCAGTGGCTCTGTCTTTGGATTCTTTCTGAAAAGAAATAGTGCCAAATCTGTGTATATATGCATGTATCTGTCGATTTATATTTTAATATAAATAAATATATCTAAATATTTTTGATTTCCTTATTTGATTTGAGAACTGGAGCGGCAAATTCCGCCGAAGTTGAAGCGCTCCACACAGTGCCTCTCTGCTTTTGCTGCTGCTGCTGCTGCTGCTGCTGCTGCTGCTGGGCCTCAGAAGTCTTTCCAGAAGCTATCGGAAGGCCTGTGGAAGTGGGCCTCTGCTGCTGCAGTGGAGCCGCTTGCTGCTGTGGAGCCCTTCGCCGTGGTCTTCCCGCTGCCGCAGCACTTGGGCTTTCTCTTTGCTGCAGAGCGGCTGCTGCTGCTGCCTCTCAGCGGCGCTGCTGTCAGTGAGGACTTCTACAAATTCCACAACGACGCTGCGCTCCAGCAGGTACGCCCAGGGGCCCCCAAAGCCAGGGGCCCCTCGACGGGGGGCCCCAGGGGCCCCTATATCTCTGGGGGCCCTCACGGGCCCCCCAGGGGTTCCTTGGGGCCCCTAGAGGCCTCCAAAGCCCTGGGGCCCCTCAGGGGGCCCCCAGGGCCCCCCCGGGAGCCCCTCCTGTGGCCCCAAAAACCCTGGGGCCCCTCCCGGGGCCCCCAAATCCCTTGGGGCCCCTGTTGCTGCTGCCCACATTCGAATAGTCAGAAAGTCTAGCAGCAATTCAAAGCCCGCGAGACCCTCCGCAGGCTACAGCAGCTTGCATGCAACGCATGCAGTCTGGGGGCTTGCATGCAGAGAGTTTCCTGCGGGCTTTTAGGCTTTTTCTAGTTTGCTGCAGTTGATCCTTTATGCCGGCAGCAGTTGCTGCTGCGGCCTGGCGAGTTGCAGCAGCTGCTGCTGCCGCGCCTAGGCAGGCCTGGCTGCAGCGTGCTGCTGCTGCTGCTGCTGCTGCTGCTTGCTGCGTGCGAGCTGCTGCAGGGCCCCTTCAACCCCGTCAGCGTGGCGCTGCTGCAGGGCCTGGCGCCCGGCACCCCCCGGCTGGCGCTGCAGAACAAAGAAGTGCCGCGGGCGCCCCCAGTGCCTTCCCACGTGCTCTTCGACTTGCATGCAAGTCTTCCTCCAGATGTTTTCAACTTAGACGTTGCGGACTCTGCGGGAAACTTGACCACTGCTTTCGCAGCCAGAGAGGGGCCCGAAGAAGCTCCGCTCTCTACCCGCCTCGAGGTAACCACTGCAGCGCCACACACACGCAGCAGCTGCAGCAGCGCAGCAGCGCAGCAGCTGCAGCAGCGCAGCAGCTGCAGCAGCGCAGCAGCTGCAGCAGCGCAGCAGCTGCAGCAGCGCAGCAGCTGCAGCAGCGCAGCAGCTAGTTCACGGTTGCTTCTTTCGCCTGCAGCTGCTGTTCGCGCAGTTTCGTTTCAGTTCCGAGTTCTGCAGTTTAAAGTGGCTTCTCTCTGTCTTTTTATGGCAGCAGAAAAAAGGACAGAGGCTGTTGTGCATGCATTTGAGCATCTGAGAAGCAGCGCATGCAGCAAATCCCTCTCACTTCTCATCTGCTGCTGTGCATTTGCAAATTCCTCAACGAAAACAAATCATTAGGCCCAGTGAAGATGTTAAAAACGGATTTTTCGGGATTTTCCCGGAGTATTGTTTTGTAAATATGGGGACGCTGCAGGTCTGGCCAAGATTTCCAGTTCTTGGGGGTTGGAACTTCGACTTGAGAGTGAGATACAACCAGCCCGTGAGCTCGCTGCTGCTGCAGCAAGAGGCCGGCAGCAGCAGCTCATCTGTGTCTTTGAAAATTCCTCTGGAGCCGATTTTCAGCGACATCTACGCTGAGCAGCTTTCCCTGACAGTGGCCTTGCCGACGGGTGCGCCTGTTGCTGCACTTTGGCATTTTGAAGTTCTCAGGCAGAGAGCAGCTGCAAAGTAGCAGCCTTTTGGGATTAAGTTTTAGTTTTTAATAGCAGCAGCCGCGGGATGTGAGGCCGTTTGCGCTGCGATTCAGGTGCCACAAACATCCGCTGCTCTTCGCCAGTCGAGTTCGACTCGGTGGAGGAGAAAAGGATCAAATGGTGGTTCGATATTGTCACTTCGCGGCCAGCTTTGAGTCTGAAATGGCACTCTATTTCAGCTTCTCCGAGTCCACACGAAGAGCGCTCGCTCACAGTCACGTTTGACTATCCCTACCCGGTAGATCTTGAACATTTCAAGAAGCTGCTGCTGCTGCTGCTGCTCCTGGCCGTGCTCGTCATAGGCACTCTCTTGAGCCGCTGGAAGCTGAGGTGAGGAAAAACGTGTTGTTTTCTTTCTTTTTGCGTGCGGCAATGCGCGTGGCAGCATCAGGCCTCTCAAACTGCTTCAATTTCTTATCTGAAGTTTCCCTCGCTTCTCTCTTTCGCAGGTTTACAACTCCAGAAGAAGACGCAGCAGCTGCAGCGCTTCAAAGCGCATTCGAAAAGGTCCGGAAGGAGCTGGGGCGTGTGGCTGAAGCTGCAATTAAGGATACAGGTGAGCGCCCAAGGAATCGGTTAGCTCTTCCCTGGCTTTCTCGTTGAAAACACTATCTGGCAGCCAGCACTACGGACCCAAACAAAAGAAAGCGAGCAGTTTTAATTCATTATCGCTAAAAGGAGAAGAAGTTAAGGTTCTGGGCTGCAGCTTTCCGAGCCAAAAAGGACGCTGATCTGCACAGGCTCATACTTGAACTGCGCCGCTGCTGCTGCGGCGGAAAGCGGCCAGAGCAGCTCGAAGCAGAAGAAGCCGCAGGAGCAGGAGATGCAGCAGTGGAGTAAATGCATGCAGCAGCACGAAAACGATGTTGCTGCTTTGCTGCAAACAGCCCCCGAGGCCAATTCATCCATCGCCGCTTTTCAAGAAGCTCTAGAGGACTACCGCAATACTGTGCAGGCGTTCGCCGCTGGCCTGCTCAACAACGCGAAGGTAAGCTGAGTGAAAAAGAGCCACTAGAAGTAATTTTTTCTGCTTTTTAGCCAGTGATGTGCAAGAATCAAAGGCGGTTTGTCGCTAAAGAAAGAGGAACAGCGTGTGAAACGAGGTTTCTGAAGCAGCCGTCGCCTTTCTGGAGAGTTGGGCTTTAGTCCAATGCGCTAAACAGGACATGAAAGTTCGCGAAAGCCTAAACTATTTTGAATGCAGGACAAGAAGACTGAAAAGGCGGAACAAGACGTGAAGGCGGCGGCCGATCAGCTACGGGCGGCAGCGCGCTGCAGCACGAAGCTGCACAAGGCGTGAGGCTGCGTCTACGGCGAAAAGAGCTGGGTCTGCATTATTATGGGTCTGCAGAAGACCTTTGAGTTTGTGTGCGCCGGCGCAGCAAAGCTTGTCACTCTTGGAGCTGCCAGCTGGGGGCAGTCCGTTTCAGAAAGTTCCCGCCAGGCACAAGGTGCTCGTGGGCGGTCGCGCGCAAGAACCTCTGGAGGCGAGCTGGAAAGCAAGTCTGGCATTTGAATTTGGCGCAATTGCTGCGCGTCTCGCGCCGCTTTCCCCGCTGCAGCAAAGCGACGCGCGAAGCAGCAGCCCGGGGGCCGCTCATACAAAATTGCGAGCGCGAACAAGCAACTGTCGTGCTGGGAAGAGCTCTGGCAGCCCTTTGAGTGGACTGCCAGCAGCGCCTCCCACCTTGAGGGGTTTGGGGGGCCCCTCTGTGCGCCCGGGGCGGGCGCACTCCACGCCCGGAGGGAGTTGGGCAATTGGGAGGAAACCTCCGCACCAGTCTCAGAAGGCTAAACTACACCTAAAGACTCAATTCAAAAACTGCTGCATTTACTCTTTTGACTCCTTTCAAGCGCTGGATTCAGCTGTTGAAGCCGCGCAAAAGAATGACCTCAGGAGCACTTCGGCTCCTTCGCCGGCCTCGCTGCGGAGCCGCTCATTCCCTGCGCACACGGCAAAGGCAGCCGGCAGCGGGTGCCCGATTGGCTGCTGGAACTGAGCTAATAGCAGCGGCACTGCAGCTTCTTCCCGCATAATTGAGCGAAATTGTGAAAAAAAACAAAAGCTGCCACTCATTTAATGCAAAATATCTGCAATATAGTGAAGAACCACGGCCAAAGCCTCACCTGCATAGACGGGCTTTCCTGCCCGGCGCCCACCGGCGCCAAGTTGCTGCTGAAGCTGCTGCCGGCGAAAGACAGCGAAGGCAGGTACGGCCTGATTGCAATCGCAAGGAAATGGATTTGAAATGTTTCTTTTCGCGCTGGATTTGAATCCATTCTTTTCGCGCTGCAGCTGCGCGCATGCATGCAGCGCCGTCCGGTGTTCTGAACGTACTGGCTGCTGTCCATGGAAAACTCTCTCGGCCACAAGTACTTCGCAAACTCCTCAGCTGACGCGCACAGCCCCTCTGGCTGCTGCTGCAAGCAGCCATTTGCTTCCGCCACCGCCTGCAGCAAGCCCGCAGCCCAGTCCGCCCCCAGTTGCCCACATCGCAGGCCTACAGCAGCACAAAATGAGGCTTCCAAAAGTATTAAAAAGCTGCTTAGGGGCGTTTAGAATTGCTGCAGCCTCACCTGTAAAGTCTGCAGGTACTGCAAGCAGCAGGCCTGGCTGCGAGCCGCCGCTGCGATGCTATCCCACAGGGAGGTCACCTCCTGCGCATTGTTGCAATTCGCAGTCCAGGCTCTCAAATCTCGAGATCTCCTTATTAAATCGAAAGCATCATCTAAATTAAATGTTTTTAACGCAAATAGAGGCTTTTCAGAGCTGCCGGAGGCTGCGGGAAGCCGCAGCCAGAGAAGAAACCCACCGAGTGCTTGGCCTGAATGGCCGCGACCATTTCCCGCAACGCCCGCAGCCGGTCGAGCGTCTGCGTCAGCGAATGGTCCATTTGGGGCTTTTGCAGGGCGCGGACGAGGCGCTCTTCTACGAAAGCCAAGTCCTGGCTCATGGTGTGCAGCTGCAGCGCAGCAGCAGGAAGCAGCAACGATGAAGCCGCATTTTTGCATCTTTGAGCACCCCTTTGCAAGATTTAGATACTTGGACGCTTTTAAACCATCTTCGAATGCGAAAATGATGGGTCTAAATCCAGAAAAGAGGAACGAGACTGTCGGAAACAAGTGGAAACTCCCGTGAAAGTGGAGTCTTGCAAGAAACGAATTTTCGCGAATATTCCCGATATTCCTGGATATGAACCGCTGAAAGTTGAATACTTATTGAAATAAAACCAAAGATCTCATAGATCAGCCGCGAAATCGAAACCTACACTGCGTTCATGAGAGGCTATAGGGTGCGCCATTGCAAGACGCGAGCACGCGGCCGCTGGAGGAAAGGCTGGGGTGCCCAAGTCGCTGAAACACAAGCAGATCCGCAAAGATCGTGCAATAAAAGGCTCCGTGTAGAAGAGTTTGAAACGTTTTCAGGGTTTGGAGGTCTCGAAAACGCGAGATTCCCTCTTTTGAGCGGCTTGCAGCGGCGCGAGGTGAGCGCTGAGTGCCGCAGCTGATCTTCCGCACCCGTAGGACCAACAAGCTTCCGGGCGCCTGCATGCACAGGAGAGAAAAAAGAGGCAAGCAGGAGTTTTGAAATGAAAGCTGGCTGGCAGCAGAAGGGCTCCGGGAGATTCGATTCGCTGCAGGCGGTGGTGGGTGGGGAAACACGCGCCGCGCGCTGCAGTGGCCGGGGGAATGCAAAGGCACATGCCGCGAAATAGCATTATTAGAATAATGGAGAAGAAATAAAAGGAAAAATAGGAGCTTGGAGCCGGGAGAGCCTTAGATCCGCGCCCTCCGAGTTGCACACGCAATGGCGAGCATTTGAATGCATGCAGAAAGAGGATGTCTTGCGTTTTTCCTGCGCTCTTTGGGGAAATTTTTCGGGAAAATGCATTTAAAAGGATCTTTTCCTTACATTCAATGCAGAAAAACCCGCGCTGTGCTGAATTTTACAAGAGAACTCACAGCCCGTGGGAGGGTGTCGTCAGCGACCGAGGCTCAGCCGCGGCGGTTCCGCTCTCTTCCGTGGGAACAGCCCCTGGAAGCAGCCGCGAGAAGCTGCTGAATTTATTCGAAAGAAAACAAAAGAATTTCGAGAAAGCTGCTGCTGCAGTTCTCGCGGGCCCCGTGGGCTTACGCAAGGCTCTCTGGTGGGGTTGGCTGGGTGGGGCGTGTTGGCGCAGCGCGGCGGCTGCTTCTCCAGCGGCCGCTCGGGGCCTCAGGAATGTTTAAAAGCCTTTTATTTAAATTATTATTTAATTTAAACTCCAAAATAAATGGAAATTCAAACCCTCTAGCTCTCCCCAGCGCTGCCGGCCGCCCGCAGCAGCAGCAGCTTTCCGCGCTGGCTGCTCTGCTTTCTGCAGCGCAGCGGCAATTCAAGAAAGCTGAACGAAAGACCATTTGCCTTGGACTTATTCGTAATTATATTCAAATAAATTAATTAATTAATTCAGATTAAACCAAACTAAAAGGATTCTCTCCCCATAAATCAGCCCAAAACTGGGGCTCTGCACACACAGCGAAAAAGAAGCTGCTTTCAGCTTTTTCTTTTTGCTGCTTCCCAAGTTTTGCTGCAGAGCCATTTGCCTAAAGAGCTGCTGGGGGGTTCCGTAGAGGCTTACTTGAGAATAAACAGCCCCAAACCCTAAACCCCAATCGCTAAAACCCTAAACCCTAGACCCCAAGCCCTAGAGTCACCTGCAGAACGGCGGCAAGCCAGGGGCCCCTGCGGCGACACGCAGCAGCAAAAGGCCCCAGGGGGCCCTAGGGGGCCCCCTGGGGCCCTTTGCTGCTGCTGCTGCAGCATGGGGCTTTTCGCCGCCGCATTTGCATGCAGCAGCAGCTGCAGGGCCCCTGCTGCAGCTTGGGGCTTTCCACCGCCACACTTGCATGCAGCAGCAGCTGCAGGGGTCCTGTGGGGCCCGGCGCAGCTGCAGATGCTGCCAAGCCAGACGAAGTTGCTGTTGCTGCTGCTGCTGCTGCTGCTGCTGCTGCTATTTAGTTCCAGCTGTCTGCCCCCTCTCTACACTAAAGCTGCGTGAAGAAAAGCTCTCAGGCACAAACCCTGAAACCCTAAACCCTAATTTCTTAAATGCGAATTATTGCAACTGCTGCAGTGGAAAGGAATGCAAAGAGAGCAGAAGATGAATGCATGCATGCGTGAGGTGTACATACACCCGAGCTGCTTGCAGACACAGCCCTTCAAATGAACTAAACCCTGACACTACAGAGCCACCCGCAGCAGCAAAAGCAGCAGCAGCAGAAGCAGCAGCAGCAGCAGAAGCAGCAGGACAATAAGCAGCAGCAAAGCCGTCTCAGACTCAGGCCTGAGCGTGAGGTGTACGTACACTGGAAGCAGCGCACTACTGGCAGCCGCGGATTTTACAAAAGTCTTCAGTGCCATTAATTGAATTAATCATTTTTATTATTTAAAAATTAAAATTGAAATAAACTTTCGAAATTGAATTAAATTCAAAGAGATAAAACCGCCCCTTCGCACAAACCCCAGTTTTCAGCATGCACAAGGGTTTAGGGTTTAGGGTTTGGGGCTTCGTAGAAGGCCTATTTGGGGCGGCGGGAAGGTCCAGCGAATAGAGTTTAGGGTTTAATTTAGGGTTTAGGTAGGGTTTAGGGTTTAGGGTTTGCATAATCAAACACAAATTCATATGCATGCATTTACCTACATTTCGGTACACCTCTGTTCCGCACAGCATCTCGAGATTAATACAAATGAATGAATATTCATTTATTTAATTTATTTTATTTATTTTATTTATTTTATTCATTTAAATAAATTAATAATAAACTTCGAAAGTGGTTTGTTGGATTCCTCGCTGCTGCATGCAGCAGCAAAAAGCAGCGCGGGTTGCGGTCACGAAAGGGAAGCACAGCTCACTCTAAACCCTAAAACCTAAACCCTAAACCCTAAAACCTAAACCCTAAACCCTAAACCCTAGAACAGTCAGCAGTACACGTAAGAGTCAATGCACGGAATTTTAGGTTTGCGGCGATGATTAGGGTTTAAGGCTAAGACCAAAAATCTAGCACTGGGCGCCAGAGCTAAACCCTAAACCCTAAACCCTAAACCCTAAACCCTAAACCCTAAGACCTAAAGCCTAAAGTGGAGGTGAAGCAGCAAATGCAGTGACGGGGTTCTGGGCTTCCACGCTGCTGTTTCGTGCCACCGCCACAAACCCTAAACCCTAAACCCTAAACCCTAAACCCTAAACCCTAAACCCTGAAACATATCAGTGAACAAAAAAAATAACTTCAGTGGCGTGAGGTGTACGTACACCTCAGGCTGCACGTTTTTACCTTTGCCCGTAAACTTTGGGGCTCCCACTGCATGCGGCAGAGCACAAGCTGCTGCTGCTGCTGCTGCTGCTGCTGCTGCAGCTGCTGTTTGTGCAGCTTCTGCTGCTGCTTCTTTCTTGCTGACGGTGAAGATGTCCATGCTGCGGCCTTTGTTGCTGCGGCTGCTGCTGCGGCTGCTGCTGCTGCTGCTGCTGCTGCTGCTGCTGCTGCTGCTGCTGCTGGGTGCAACTCTGAATAGCGCCGCCACCAGAAGGGCATTCTTCCCGGAGTTTGAATCCCTGACCTTGCACGATTAGCAAAACTTGCTTAAATTAAAAAAAATAATTAATTTAATTAATTAAATTCATTTAATTGATTTAATTAATTCAATTAATTCAAAAACCGGCAGCCCCGCAGCGGCCAGCAGCAGGGCGGGTTGCCGCCGGCGTAGGTGTTCATACACCTCACGCTTTCCAGGTGGAACAAAATGACTCCCGAGAGAATTAAAGAAAGAGAAATCTGCAAATAAAATGAAATAAAATAAAAATTAAATTAAATTAAATTAAATTAATCAAATATTTGTTCATTTGTGTCATTTAATCGCAAGAAATGCAGCTTTATTCAATTAAAAGTTGAAATCCAGAAGAAGCAAACAGCCCCAATCTGCTGCCCAGTCCATACAGTGGACTGCAAATGCTGCATGCATGCAAATTGTTTAAATGCATTTAAATTAAAATATTTATTCATTTAATTTAAATGTTTTCAACTTCTGTTGGTCCGTTGCGAGCAATTTGCTGCAAAAAGGCGCTAAGCAGCAGCTAAAATTCAATTTAAAGTCCAAAATGCATCAAGCAGCAGCAGCAGCAGGATAAGCAGCAGCAGCAGGATCAGCAGCAGCAGCAGCAGGATAAGCAGCGGCGGCAAACGACGCGAAGAAGCAGCAGCAGCAGAAGCAGCAGCAGACTCACCAGGACTGCAGCAGACACAGCAGCACCTGCTGCTGGCAGCAACAGGACCGGCAGCAGCAGCAGCAGCAGCAGACTCACAAGGACTGCAGCAGACACAGCAGCACCTGCTGCTGGCAGCAGCGGGAGCAGCAGCAGCAGCAGCAGCAGCAGCAGCAGCAGCAGACTCACCAGGACTGCAGCAGACACAGCAGCATCTGCTGCTGGCAGCAGCGGGAGCGGCAGCAGCGCGTACAGCAAAACAGCAAAAGGCAAAATTGCCTTCATGGCCAAAAAGCTCAGAAGGGAGGAGCCAGTAGCAATCAGTGCTGCAGCAGCAGCAGCAGCAGCAGCAGCAAATAATAAATAAATAAATAAATAAATAAATAAATAAATAAATAAATAAAAATAACTGAATGACGATAAATGAAAGGAAAGACACTGCCGGAGATGACGGCTGCGGGGATTAGGGTTTAGGGTTTAGGGTTTGAGCTTGAGGGTTTAGAAAGCCCCCAGCTGCGAAAAGCCAAGGGTTTAGGGTTTAGGGTTAGGGTTTGAGCCTTAGGGTTTACAGCGCTCCCAGTTGAGAGCTTGAAACGTAGAACTCCTTTTCAGGTTACTCGTTTAGGGATTAGGGTTTAGGGTTTAGTTCGCTAGAGATTAGGGTTTAGGGTTTAGTTCGCTAGGGTTTAGGGTTTAGGGTTTAGACCCGCAGGGGTTTCCGCTGAAGAGCGCAGGGAACCTGCAGGGTTCACCCCAGTCGCGACCTTGAGGTGCCCAGTCTGCAATCAGCGCTTAGGGTTTAGGGTTTAGGGTTTAGGGTTTAGGGTTTAGGGTTTAGGGTTTGAGTACCAAGCGCGGCGAAATTGAAAAGCAAGTTGATGAGGGCGTAGACGCCGTAGGCGAGGGGCGCGTGCTGGCAGAGGGGCTTGGAAGCAGCAGCAGCAGCAGCAGCAGCAGCAGCAGCAAAATGAAAAGGAGAAATAAAAAAACCCTTTTTTAAATCTCCCACTTCTGCATCCGCAAACCCTAAATCAGCGTTTCCAGCAGCCACCCCCAGAAAGCAGGAAAACCCTCTGACCAAATACCCGGCGACTGTGTCGCCAGGCGCCTGCGCGCGCACACAAAAGCCCGCTAAACCCTAAATTAGGGTTTAGGGTTTAGGGTTTAGGGTTTAGGGGTTGGGAGGAGAGCCAGCAGAGTGGAGGCCAAGATGAAAGAAAAGGCAGCAATTGGTAACACAAAATAAATAAAAAAAGCAACTAATAAATAATAAATAATAAAAGATAATAAATAAAAAACAAATAAATAAATAAATAAAAATAAATAATAATGAGAAAAACATATTTCAGAGGATATGACTTGAGAGGAACAGCAAGCAATAAGCAGCAGCTGCTGCAGCTGCTGCGGCGGCAGCAAGGGAGCAGCAGCAGCAGCAGCAGCAGCAGTTACAAAATTAGCTACATTTCAAAAAATGCAGCAGCAGCATCGCCACAAGAAGCAGACGAAGTGCAGCAGCAACACTGCAGCAGCAGCAGCAGCTCCGCTGCAGTGGAAGCAGTTCAGCGATACCAGTAGCAGCAGCAGCAGCAGCAGCAGCAGCAGCAGCAGCAGCAGCAGCAGCAACATTGTTATTACCTTGACAATGAATGCATTTACGGGAGCCAAAAGGATGCACCAAAAGAGAGAGCTGACTGTTCCGCCCCAACAGACCAGCAGCAGCGCCAAGCTGCTTCTGTTTCCTGCTGCTGCAGTGCTGCTGCTGCTGCTGCTGCTGCTGCTGCTGCGGACGCTCTGCTGTGCTTGCTGCTGCTGCTGCTGCTGGTTGGGGCCTCCAGTTCTGCCGCTTTGCTGCTGCAGCAGCTGCTCCTGCCCGTCTTCGTGCTGCTGCTGTGCTTGCCGCTGCTGCTGCTGCTGCAGCAGCGGCAGCGAGCGCCCGCTGTCGTCGTCCGCAGCAGTCTGCTGCTGCTGCTGCAGCAGCAGCAACTGCTGCTTCTTTTCGTAAGAGCGCAGCAGCAACTCCTTGAGGGTAAAAGAAAGAGCTGTGGGGGCTGTGGAAAGAGCAATCAATGCTGCCATCCAACTAACGCTGTGGCTGCTGCTGCTGCTGCTGCTGCTGCTGCTGCTGCTGCTGCTGCTGCTGCTGTAGGCAGCGCCGAAGGGCGTGTACACTGCGGGAATGTCTAAAGGAACGAACGGGGCTGCCCTCAGGTGCTGCTGCTGCTGCTGCTGCTGCTGCTGCTGCTGCTGCGTCAAAACCGCAGCAGCAGCAGCTGGGTAAGCTGCAGCAGCAGAAAGGCCGGGCCGCTGCTGCGAGTCCGCAGCTGCCGCCGCCGCCGCCACAGCAGCAGCAGGGTCAGCAGCAGCAGCAGCAAGGCCCGCAGCAGCAGCAGCAGCAGCAGCAGCAGAATGCAGCGCCATCCAAGCCACCGCAAACCCTAAAGTAGCTAATCCAAGTGCTGCTGCATGCAGCAAAGAGTAGCGGCGGTGCAGCAGCAGCAAAGAAAAGAGACAAGAGAAAGGCACAATAGCTTGGCCCATCAAAGAGTGAATCGGCCCTGCGCACAACGCAAACCCTAAACCCTAAACCCTAAACCCTAAACCCTCAACCCGAAAGCAGCAGTGCAACAGATGGCCGTAGCAACAGCAGCAGCACTAGTGCTTCAAAATACAACAAGAAAAACCAAAAAAACATGGTCCCGAAGGGCAGCAGCAAAAAGCAGCAGCAGCAGCAGCAGCAGCAAGTAAAACAGCTGCTGCAGCAAGTTGAACAGCAGCAACAGCAGCAAGCAGAAGAGCAGCAGCAGCAGCACCATGCAGAGCAGCAGCACCAACAGTATCCAATAGCGCAGTAGAAACAGCAGCAACTAGAACACCAGCAGCAGCTGCTGCAGTACCACCAGGTAGCTCAGCAGCAGCAGCAGCAGCAGCAGCAGCAGCAGCAGCAGCAGCAGCAGCAGCAGCAGCAGCAGCAGCAGCAGCAGCAGCAGCA